CACGTTCTATGTCACTTGAACATCACAAACGTCAAACACTTGGAGAACATTCAAAGTATTACCAATCAAATGAAAACGAGAAAAGTCGATTTTTTTATATCGACAGCAATTTCTCAAGTACATCCCCCGAAACGCATTAGAGTCTGCCCAATAAAGAACCTCGCGGGAAGGAACGACCCTGAGAATGTTTTGCTTCCAACCGACATAACTTTGCGCCTAATACACGCCAAAGTAAATCCTATTCACTCTACGTTGCGAGTGAACGTGAAGGCAGGATTGGGAGTGCGGATGCCGGCGACATTTGGCAAGGGAATTGAAGGAAGTACTCTGAGCCTTCTTCCTGGATGTGTTAACGGCATACAAGCGGCGCGGTGCGCGCGGCGGGTGAGATACGGCCTTTATTTGGGCGTACATTGAAAAATCCACGGCCTACTTTATGACTTGTAAAGGTGGATATCGCTTTATAGGATGTGAAGGCTTTATTAAAAAAGCAAAGGAATCTTACGACTCCACATACAGATATGGGAAAAATTATGTGGGGAAATAACTTTCTTATCGATCTCGTCGCTGTACTGAAATTTTAATGCAAGTTATTCCTTTTACGTGGAGAGCAGTGCTCGAGATCTACCTCGCATTTGGAACGTGAGTTCATACTTGTGTTCTCTGTTGTGCTTAAATAAGAAGGCCTATTTTATTGTGTCCTTTAAAATATTAGGAGCTAAGTGCAACCACAATTGCACACAAATAACTCAAACGAAACTTCTACAGACCTTCCTTGAAAAACTTTAGTCGGAGCTGCGATAAATTAGAAACTAACACTAATGACCCTCCACGGCATTACATTCAGCTATTCCTTTGAACACGATCGGGACACGGTTTCCGCTCAACTCAACACATCCCCCTAACAAAACGTCCTCGGAACTTCTCAAATGTACAGAACTTCCTGCGTACATCGACGTTTATTTTTTTCAAGATAAATTTACACTTAAAGCAAAAGTGGTAATGGAATGCGAACGATTGTCTTTTATCCTAAAGTGGTGTGGCGATTTTAGAGCTAGAGTAGGCAGTAAGGCACAGGCTTGTGCAATTTATCCAGGCATTCAAGGACATTAGGGATTCAGTGCTCTGAGTAAGACAGTCGAATGGTGCACAACAGGAATGCTCCGTTTGGGGCTAGTAATTTAGTCTAGACAAGGATATAGGATCTGAGTGGAATTAAACGCTGCTAATTTGCGATGTTACGTTTTAGAAAAATTTGAATATTTTCGACATTTGTGTAGATAGTTAAGAAACATTTTTCATTAAAAGAAAACTGACCTCAAAAGTATCGGCTTTTTTATTGAAAGACATTTATTTGCCAAGTTTTATTGAAATCCGTTAACGGAAAGTGCACGACACCGGATTCATCCCCTAGTTTGCCACCTTTCGAGGCGGAATATTTTCTTCAAATTTAAATGGGACTACGGCTGAGGACCTTCTTTCCAACCACAAAAGGATCATCGATATCGGTTCACAAATACTAGTCTAATCCAGTCCAGTCTAATCGCATAACATATGTACACACAAAAAATGCAGTCGAATTGACAACCTCCTCCTTCTTTGCAGTCGGTTAAAAACATCATCAAAAAGTTTTATAGCAATATCTGCCAAATAAATGCTTTTACCCATTTTAATATTTAATGATTAATTCTCATACATATATCATAAAATTAATACAATAATAATCACATTACTTCGATCTGTCTCTATCTTAATATACTGCTACGGTTTTCAGGGTTTCAATTAATGAACTAATTAATTTTCCTTGTAACAACACGTTTTAAATCTCATGAATAACATTTATTCTCAATTGAAAGCAACAGTAACACGTTGAAAACTTTGTCGCAATTTTGTTTTGACATCTATTAGAATAGAGGTATATGAACATCAGTAACAAAACGTACATTTTGCAGTAGATTGCTAACGACGACACTTTTTTCATTTTGCTGAACATTTCGAACTTTTCAAATAGTCTTTAATTGAATCTTCGTGTTACAAGACGATTACAACTAAGTCAGAACTTTGGAATCCCAGGAGTTAGTGCGCAATTAGTCTTCAAGAGATACCCGCAAATCTAGGTAGCCTAGATGACCTGGATAACAGATAGCGCTACCTACACTCAGGTGTAAAGGTAATAGATTACCTAGTCTAGAGACTTATCTTAGTTCCGTTAATTGCTTGGGATATTATTGTTGATGGAATTTGTGCATCTAGAGTCTGTCGCACCTAGCACCTGTGAAGGAAAACAGTATGACGAAACCTGCACGTCGAAGAAAATTGACAACCCGGAAAACGTGTCAAGTCCCCAACCCGCATTGGGCTAGCGTGGCGGACTATGGCCTAAACGTGTAAAGGAGTTGATGATAACTTAATTACGTGTAATTGTAACAACTGAATGCACTGTTTTTATTGTATACGCAATAAAAGCGATGGTGTCCCAGTGAGAGAACGATTGTTTCTCAGTCGAAGGTTCAAATCACTGTAGCGGCATTTCTAAGTTGTGTTTTACTTTCGTACGTGCATGTACATCTTAGGGACAATACCTCCCTCTGACGGTGAAGAAGAACATCGTGATGAAACCTGCACGTCGCAGAAAGTTCACAACCCTTGGAAAACATGTGAACGGGCCAGAGTGGCGGATGTGGCCTGAACTGTCTCCTTAAAGGAGACCCGTGCTCAGCAGTGGAACGCATAATAGCTGTCAACCCACCTGAATTCCACGACTCACCGTGGATCACAATGATACAACAATAAATACACAATGCAGTAAATATTACAATCGTGTCGAATTAGACGTACAATGACTACGGCTCTCCCACGATACGACTGTCTGTCAAATTTCTTCTCATTTTTGTATCCGTATGAGAAGAAATGTCGAAAGTAAATTTTACTTTAACAGCATTGGTACAATCTCTATATAACATTGAATAATCCGCAACCCAGTAAAAATAACAAAAAAGATGTACAGTCTTATTACCTTTCAAATAGAATTTCTAAATTGCTATTAGGAACTAAAACCGAACATAGTAACTTCAAACAATCATCAAAATTAATAGCTCTGCTTGTCTTAGTCGAGAAAGACATGTTCGTAGAATATTCAATGCAATCATAGTCTCGACAGAAGAGTCAGTGTCTATAAGTAGACTGCGGCCGACGCGGATATGGCTGGTCTGGCCCGGACTCGGGGGAAATCACTTAGTTCTCTGGCACAGGGTGACATAAATTAGGAAATATAACTAATATATATAACTCTCAAAATAATGGAGGATTCCTAAAAATGGACATGACAAATCAGTAAAATTTGTTGGATCCACTCACGGGTAAAGTGAAACCTCTTTTTTATTATCATCACTTATAGAACGGCAGTTTGTTCGCGTTGTTTGACGTCAATTAGTCATTTCGTTTAAAAACTTTAAAAAGATAAATTACCTGCACTGAAAAATTCAAGGACATTTTAAATTTACTTCACTCAACTTTATTCCAAACTGTCTAATTATCGAAGTACACAATTAGAAGGAAAAGTACCGTCTTAAAACTGAAAACTAAAAAACTAAAAGGTACTTCCATAAACAACGCGTCTATGTCGAGGCCGGTCTTGCAGCAGCGCGAGTCAGGGGAAATCAGACGCTTGCGACAGACCTCTGCATAAATTAGAAGTCGACACTTGCATTACGACGGCCACAAAACTCAAGACGCACGTTACGCCTAAATTAACCGGCACTTGTCAAAGGCCATGTTCTACACAAGCTTGTTAAAAATGCCTGGAGAAAAGTCCCCAAGGCTTAGGCGAACGTGTAACGTAAGGAATGATGCAATTCGAGGATGTGAAAAAGTAGTTTTCTCGAGGATCGTAACATCTGGAGATCCGTAAGTCACAAAGTCACTATCTCTAAAGTGCACGTGTCCTTAGTAGTACCTAACAACGTTTTGTTCATATAAATACAAGAAAAAGATCACATAAATCACATAAATACCAACACACAATAGACGTACAGGGAAAAGACGACAAGTTACCGGCACGCGGACATATTGGCGTTTTGTGCCTACAGGTAGAGATCGTTGATAACAAAGAACTTTTATCCACCATTCTTCGTGGCAGTACAATTTGTACATGATCATACGAAAGTAAAGATTAATGTGTCCGGTAATCACACAAACACTACCAGATTTAAAAATATACCAATTGGTACTCACAAAGACGTAACAAGATAAAACAAACATGTAAACACCAGTTTACAAGGCACCTTATGTAGCTCACTTTTGCACAAAAGGAAATCTGGAATGCCCTTAACAAAAACCGACCCCAAAAGTTCGTGGAATTAAATCTATTTGCCAAGTTTTATTGAGATCCTTAAGACATTAAACATTGCACCCTTAGAGGTGGAACATTTTCTTCAAATTTGATTAATGGCACTAATACTGAGGTACCCTCTTTCCAACAAAAAAGAAATACCAAAATCGGTTCACAAAAACACACACAAAAAAATACGATCGAATTGAGAACCTCCTCCTTTTTTAAAGTCGGTTAAAAACAATATTACATTGAGTGTTTGTAGCGACGCAATTAAAGTACGCTTATAATGTTAAAAGTATCGTTTTTTATATTCAGCTTTGTAACAGTTCATTCGCTGAATTGAAAATGAAAATAAAATAAATAAAATAAAAAGGTGTTTATTTCTTCTCAAAGCATAAGAAACACAATACTTAAAAAACGAATAGAAAAAAACAATTGAGTGATATAGACAAAACTGTTAAAGACTCAGCATTGCAGATTTTCAGTCTTCTCCTGTAGCTGGCTAGCTAGCTAGCTAACGCGACTTTGAGATTATAGTAATATTGTTCTTGTGTCAAAATAAACAATCGTACGCAGTGGAAACGATATGAGTAAGAAATGAATCGAAATACTTTTACTGGGGGGTATTTTTTGCAAAAATATAAAAATATGTGTGCTTAACGCCAAAATCTACGACATTACAAAACTTTCAAGCTTATCGTGATATTCCGAGCCTTCGAGCGGAATATAGTTTACGTTATTCATTTAAAATATGATATAATAATAAAGTAAGTTTCTGAGTGCCTGGCCCCGGCCGATTATGCCATTGTCGGGGAAGGCCGCCTCGCCCGTTTCAAAATTCAGTATTTTTGGCCATGAGAGAAGCGAGAATCTATAACAGATAGCCAAAGTGTTAATAACTTTATTTTAGAAACACATTGTTAGTAACAAACAACACAAACATTGGTAATTTAATTCCAATTAATTCAACCATTCAACCATGTAGTTGAGTGTGAACTATAACATAAACTTTAATAACATAATTCATGGTGTTTCAATTATAAAGCCCAACCAAACACACACCTGTAGTTACAAATCATAAACTATACATTTAAGATCGCTAAATTCATAATGCAAAATTCTTAATTTCCAAATTAAAAATATGATTACAATTTTTTCATTTATATATATTATATATAAATTTAGATTTAAGTAATCAATACGTATCTTAGAAGATAAAATATTTTTTTGCTAAATTACTAATTTTGCGCATCTGCAAACAAGTCAAATTATACTCCAAGGGAAGTTCTACCAACTAGCATTTAAATAACAATAATTGTTAAAAAATGTCACAAATCAATTAACATACTTCGTAATTTAACAACACAAAAGATATTTTCGCTCATTGCAAACATTAAATAATATTTTGATTTATTTTTTAATTTACCTTTGTGCAACTGAGTTATTTTTGAGCCAGAATGAACTGTCACACCTAATGCTATATAGTAGCCGAGTTTTATGTGAAGCCTTCGCCGGATTTACGTACTTAAATATCAGTTTAATAACATTCTAAGTCGTACTGCTGCTATCGGCAGCCATAAACGCATTTGTCTTGGCAACTTGGCAACGCCGCCATAAAGGCACTGGCAATCGCTGCCATTGCCAAGAGATATGGCTCCAGCTCGATTGCCCACCGGCTTTGACTAAATTAATATTGTAGACCTACCAGTACCACGTATTGAAACCTGAATGTCTTCGAGTGTGCGCCGAGGAAGAGTCAATAGATTGATCGATTCTTTGCTTTGTCTATACGAAATAGTCCCTTGCTGCGGCTCCACATTATCATTTTGGCTTTGTATATTTATCCTTATTGGTTGCGTTTATGTAAAAATGGTCTGTAACATGTTAGCATCAATGTCGAGCCCCCCAAGGGCTTTTCTCATTGAATGCACAGAGGGGAAATAAAACATATCGATGGAAATAAATTGTTTACACTTCACACCTTTTCGGTTTGCGCCCGTAGTTCTTGGTGGCAGCGCAGGCGCCTCAAGAATCGGCATTCGGGAATGTTAGAATTTGCACTGATAAGCGAGCTCGCTCACTCGTGTTAATAGCCTTCCCTTTTATTGCAAAATTTAAACATTGTTCTTTGTAATACCGTTCGGCTTTTGTAAGGCCCTTATTACTAATATATAAGACAGTTCAACGTGTGTGATATCAGTAGGCACCTGAAAAACGTGTTCACAAAAGAAATCAGTGTGTTTTACAAAGTAATGTCAATATGTAACAGCGAATCGCTTGGTCCCTAAATAGGGTACTAATACCGTCCGTACAGTACCTGTTACAATAAACGGATATATAGGATGTTCTCATTTCATGCGTGACTACCACATAGAACCAAAGATTTCCCGATCATACGGTTTGATGGACATCCAATCGATAAACAAAGACACGAAACCAAAACATGAAGCCATACCCTACATCACTCAAACGAGACAGTTACTTCAACTTCCCCGAAATGTCGTCTTGGCTCGGCCAAGGAGCGTGGGCCCGGGGGAAATCAAGCAGGGGCCGCAATTATACTGACCACATGAAAGGACATTTTTCTTGCGCCTAACACTTTTAATTAATACTCTCTTTGTGTACAGACACGTCGTCGTTATCATTAAGTGTACGAATTCCTGACTATTTACTAGTTTTCTATTGCCTCTTACCGTTTCTGTGTACAGATTGCGTTTATACAATACCGACAACCTATACAAATAGTACAAGAGAAAATCTAAAACATCTTGGTTTCATAGCTTTTGAGGTATCTTTCATGTCGTTGCTGTATGCGTTATCCCTATTATTGTATGTTCTCTTACAATAAGTAGATGGAGCTTAATTTACATATATGTAAAAACACGCATTATTTTTTTTGCCCAAATGGGCCACCTACAATTTAAATTAATGCTCAAAAACACGCAGGTCGGAAAGATTACCAATCAAAAGGGAAGCGCTGGCGCTCATTTAGCTTTGATGGGACGGTCGCTGTGTCGCGGGGAAAAATAAAAATAAATTAAAAATAAAAGAAGGCACGGGAGTTAATATAATGTGCCTGAATGTGCGGCCCGTTCGTTAGCAAGCCGTGATTGTGTACCTCTGCCCGCGCCCGCAGCCCCCTTAATGGAATTAATCATTTGGTGTATGCATAAAACGAGTATGTATCTAAGCTTCTTTACGCGTGGAAAGCGACGCACAACATTACGGATAATTTAAACCAAAATGGCTGCAATGAAACTGAAATATTATAATCGTAATCTATTCAGTGCGAGAATGAACCGCTTTATTTCTCGTGGCCACTCGGCGTAGCACTTTTGTGCACTATATGGTATATTACTTAAATCATTTCGGTCTGCATAAAATCTGCACTTGGTGCTTGGAAACTTTACAGTAAATTGCTCGTTTCTTTGTTATGCAATGTTTACAATATTTCTTAACCATATAAACGTATCCAACGTTCATTAAAAATACAATACTTTTCGAAGACGGGTTCTTATTGCTATACACCTAAAATACAGCCTATTTTAACTTAAGTATTTTTAGTGTAAAGTAGATGGAAACGAGCAGACGAACCGCTACATTGGGAAGTGGTCGTCGTCCGTCCATGGACATTTGTAACACTAGAGGAATTGCCTATGTGTCGTCAGCCTTTGAGAGTTTACTCGCTTTCTTAACACGCAATGATTCGAGCTTAAAATAAGTTGCAAACGTGAGTTACAATCATATGAAAGATTTTATTACGCCCGCAGTTCTACTAATAAATTCATAAAAGCTGTGTATAAGCAAATGCAGAGTCCGTACCGGTAGAATACCAACACGACGGCGGTGCGACGTTCCGTTTCACCCAACAAAGCACTTTAAACAGATTTGAGTTGGACTGAGACAGGAATGGCGTCCGAACTCCCGCGAAAATAAAAATACGGGCTCGTTACCGGCGGCGCGGTAATCCAATCTCGCTGATTCGCGTTGACCTCCCCACCCTGCACCTTATACACACACACTCACTATTTATTTATTAATAGTGTATGTGTGTGCCTGTGCGGGGTCGCAAGATATTAATTTATTTTTCAGGGCATTGTTTAAATACCTAGGTCAATAAAAACACTCATTTACATTAAAGTTACAGCTGTGCAGACAGAAGTTACAGTGTGTTATAACCTGAAACGGGATTTATGAAATACTATTACTCATTGGTCATTTCAATTAAGTCTATGTTAACTTTAAATTGATTGATTTTTTTTTTCTTTTCTTTGAATCCGTTTTAAAGAAGTATAATTGAGTTAATAAAGAGTTGGGCCTCCTATTTTTGGTTACAAAAAAAGGACGCCCAAATATAAACGCGATGGTTATATAGAAGTCTCCCTTTTCAGTAGAAAGGAAAGAGATCTACCCAGTAAAAGCCAATGATACTTCTTATATAGAAAAAAGGGAACCTCGGGACCTGTAACGCCATTCTTCCGCAGTCAACCTGGGGTTTCGGAGTATATGAAGACAATAATTTCAATACGAAAGGCGGATTGAGCGTCCCATTGTCCCAACTAGCTGAACCTAAAAAATTTGTCTACTACCAAATGACTAAAATGAACTATGTGAACAGGCAAAACAAAAACTTATAGAGCCAACGCCAAGTGTTCACAATTGCAACAATTAAAAACACCTACCTGTGAAAATAAACAAAAAATGCTGTAAGAATAAACTAACATGTTTATTTTTTTCTGATTTTCATCCTTTTTTGTACTTTCGTCGCGAAAATGAGCTCTATGGGAACAGCAATAATAACGAAAATATAGTAATGGATACACATTCAACATACGACTGTTAATATACCGAGCAAAACTAAAAAATATTATTTTTCAGTCAACCGTGACCATGGGACCTGTAAAGGGCCCGAAACGTTGCTTTGTTTGAAAAAACAAATATACGCGATTTAAACCCGGAAAAATAGTTTCATTTCCTATGTGTAACAATCGAGAAAACCTAAGAACTCGATAAATATTATTCTCTTTATTATATATATATGATATATTATATATATGTATATATTTCTTTTAGCAGTTGTCCTAACAAGTCAAATATTACTTTTAATTCTAATATATTGTTTTACTTTTTCTGTCATACATTTAGTCTTTTATTATTTTTTCACATTTGTTTGAGAAAAGCACTACACATGCCTCGGCGGGAGCGCGGATTGCTTGACTCGTATTGCTTCTTAACTCATACTCGTCCAGCAATCCCTTACTTCCCGGCTCCTGCCATACTTATACAAATAAACAAGTTGATTTTTTTTAAGAAACAGCAAAATTCTTCTAAAGCTATGTACCTACACGAGTAGATTCGATATTCTTGTTACATTGTATAGGTATTACGAACGATACTTTGGATAAGTAAACATAAACCTTAGCGGTTGAAAGGTAAGTTAAATTGTTATTACGAAATCCTTTGGATAACCCACAACGGCAATACGTACCTTCATTAACCATTAAAACTGTAAGTTTGGATCCATCCATCATAGCTAGATTTCATTACATACTAACTAAATGGGCTAGAACATCACGAAGTTTTCGAATTCGCTTCGCTAACGATTTATAAATTAGCTGGCAGATTGGGAAGTTAAATCCGGGCTCTAAATCAATTTGTGGCACGGATTGCCTTTCTATTTACTTTTTCGATCGTTGTCATTTTTGGAATTAATTGCTTTTTAAATAAATTAATTGGATTTTATATCCATTGACTCCTTTCATAATTTATTTTCATATCTAAATGCAATCAAGAGCACATCTAGCTTGACAATTTGGATCGTTGTCATCTGCAGCGGCATAGAGTAGAATTTAAACCTTAATTATCAAGGAGGTCATGCTCTTGACCTTGTACGACAGTCGTTAAATACAAATAACCCCCGTTATGTGAATTTCTGAAATATCTCAAAGTTTCAACAGAACGAAGTAGGATAAAACCGGGGAGATATGTAATGACGCTATGTAAGATCGGGTGCCGATGTCGCCACTTTTTAACTTGTGTGCAATTCAAACTTTACGCTTTATTATCTACTACCATAACTTAAAGATTTTGATTGGCTAGGGCTTAAAACGTGAAAATGACATAAAACACATTTTAAAATTTAACAAAATGAAACTTACAGGCACTTAAATAAGAGTTATATTACAATATTTCAGTATTTTTTCATCCTGGTTCAGCCATTCACAAACAGGTGGCGTTTTAGTAAAAATACGACTAGTATACAGGGTGGAAATTTGTAATGCCACCGGGAGGGAAAGTACTCTAAATACTGGAGATACAAGATTTTACTTAAAGGAAACATTCCTTTATTTTGAAAGAAAGAAATAAAACTGCATTCATAGATTTTCGAAAATTTCTAGCAACACGCGGGAATCAAACCCGCTTTAATCAATGCAAATAATGTATGCAAATAAATAAAAAAATGCGCCCTGCACTTTTATAGCATCGATCGATAGGGTTAATTATAAGAATAATATCTCTCTCACAAAGTTGGTTAATTAAATGAAAAAAAAAACCATGAAATCTTAACGTATTTTAATAAAAAAGAATGGTAATCTTACTAATTAGTTGCTCGAAATGAGCTCCATTTATTGGATACACAAATTTAATCTTTTAACGAATTCATTTTGAGTAACTTTTAATAACGTGTTGTGATGAATTGTATTACAAATCGTATTCTGACCTCAGCCTTTGTAGCCGTGTCACACCTCGATATGGTCATTTTGACCATATCGAGGCGACACGAAACACGCCCCCATACCATATCTATGGATAAAACACTCGTTATCTTTACGTAATACACAACTTACTTCTATCGTGGCCAAGTCGCAGCCAAATTATAAAGCGACCTCCGAATAGACTAAAACACATCGGCTACTGAAAAGGGAGCGCTTTTGGTACTTGAAAAATGCTTGAAAACGTCGCAATAAGACCCGCCGTTTGGCTCGCGTTCAATTGAAGTCATGACGACAGGGCAAACCCCTGCCCCTACCACAAATTCCTTTGAAATTAGGTACTTAACCCCTGGCTTCAAAGGGTTATCAAGCAAAATTTTCATTCACTGCAAACTTTTGTTCCATGGGGTCCAAAATAAATTCAGTAAATTTTTAATTTTCTTGGCATTAATTCCAGGTTATTTACGTGGAATTGTATGCGGAAAATCATAGTAGGATCTTTTTCTTTGGATTGCGAGACTTGCAGTCGTTCTTTCGTTTCGCCGTGCAACGACTATGCCATTAAAATCGTAGATAAAAGTTGTTTATTGCAACTAACAAGTGGAAAAAAGAAAGCATTTTACAAACGACGTCGCCAGCAGCACGCAGTACAAGCCAGGCGGCTCCTACAACTTGGAGCCAATTTTGAAAATATATTTTTGCAAAATCCTGAATGCTGTGAATTGTTTTGACTGTAATATTAGTTGACAAACATTTGCTTTGAATATTCAGCGACATTCATGTCACGAAACTTGAACACCCACAATAATTTCCTTGTATTCACGTTGGGACTTAATTACGAGTAGCTTCAATTATGTATGGTTTATTTAAAAACCATTCCTGCAAAATATAACGGTACATAATTATGTACAACTTACGAGAATACAAATAAAACAAAAAATATATATATAGCAGATACATAGTATAGAGTAAAGTTTATAGGAGTATAACTGAATTACAATTTTGCCTGGCGATGACTTAGTCGGGTAAGCTCTCGCCGTGTAAACACAAGCTTATAAATTCGGTTCTATGTGGGAACGCACTTAATCTTAAGTTTTAACCATTTGATGAAAAAAATAAGTCATAAATAAAGTTTTGCTTTTCAGGCATAACAAGTAATGTAGTAGCCAGAAGAAACTTGTACTTTACAATGCTGTGCAAGATTTATATCGCATTACAGCAAATGCTTTGTTTTTATTTTCACGTCGATTTGTGGAGACACTTTTGAAAGTGTGTGTCTCTCATTTAAAAACATCTAATTTAACCTTTCCTATAATTATTTAATTCAAGAATTCATGTATTTGTTTGTTTCTCTCGTATGCTTTTCACTATTATTCATGCAACGAAGCGATGCGATAAAACTTGCGCGAATTGTGCCCATAGATATAGAAAAAAGGGGTTGTACCTAGTATTTATGTGGTCTGTGGGTTGTACCCACGATAGCAAAACTTTCTGAAGTATTAGGTTTCACTGTTGGGCGCAGGTCTCTTTTTTTAATTTTTTTTTATAATTACACACACACTCAACATAGTCCCGCACTAGGGAAACCCTGTGTCGCGGGTGCCATGAACACACATATAGACAACCACAATTTACACCCACACTCACGAGAGAAACAAATGTAGGTCATACAAATATTTCTCCCGATCCCGGGAATCGAACCTGGGACCTCTGCGTGGCAGTCCGGCATGGTAACCGTTGGGCCACAGAGGCAGTTAAAAAGAGGGTAGAAAAATATTATAAAATAAATATATTAAAGAAGCTTAGTGCGAATGTCTCTTGTTTCTGAACAATTTTTACCTCCGCTTTTACTTCTGGATAATAGGATGATATCGATTACAGTTGGAAAAGGTAGTAAGTACTCTTTAAAAATTTATGTACCTGTACGTGTACAGCATTGTATTGCATAAATTCTTCCCAAGAACTACATATCTAGAGGCAGCATCGAGACCGTTAGTATTTGTTGTAACTGTTGCAACGACACGCAAACAGGGTGGCAATCATCATCATCATATCAGCCAGAAGACGTCCACAGCTGAACATAGGCCTCCCCCAAAGATTTCCAGACTAGTCGATCGGACGCGGCGTGCATCCATCGGTTACCCGCCGCCCTTACCAGGGCATCCGTCCATCTAGTAGGGCACCGTCCCACCGAACGCCTTCCGGTGGCAATATTGTCATCGAATTCAGATTTATTTAATAATTTGATTTCTGGGTTAACGTTTCACACGCAAAACGGGTTAAGGGTATAAACTCTTCAAAAATGCTTATAAGCTAAACGCTCTATAGAGATAATCAGCAAATTGCAGAAACGTTCTTTAAAATTAATATGTGTTTACAATAACAGTTATGTATAGCGTTTTAGAACAATCTTTATAAAACAAAAAATGAGATGTTATGGTATGCCAACCCCACCTTGCGCTCTCCACTCGAAGCTTGCGAGCAAGCGTCCGCCGCGACATCACGAGTATCACAAACCAATTGACATAGCCCGTCGCTTTTGTTTACGTAGATGGCGCTTTTCGCACCATAAATCTAAGTTTTTACATTTCACGCACGAATCTTTTTCGCAGAGTTCCAGTTTTAGTAATTATTGCCGTCATACTTCCGATGAATATTTATTTCTTAGAGGATGGAAAAAAAGGTTTCTTTGCACATTGTTAACCTTACAACAAGTATCCAACGTTAAGTACGTTAGTAAGTACTCTGCCGAATAGATTTATTTTACTTAGCCTAGGTGACTAAACTTTATGGACAAATTGTGAAAATTTACTTCTACACAAATGCTCCCAATAACATTGTCATACATGGGCATCTCCTTCTCTATAACCAACCATCACGGGGTGAAACAACTGACCTTATAACTAAATGTGAGATTTACCACTTTCACTCCAACCACGCAACTCCCCGAATGGCATTATCAGAACATTATACTCACGAGTACCACGCATAAAAAATTAATTTATTTGTGGCCTTTCTATATTTCTGAAAAATAAAATTAATGCATTTGCTAAACGATCAGGATTTGTAACAAAACGTTTTAAAAAATTGCTGGACGCCAGTCTGTCAACGAAATAAATGCTCACTTTTAAACTTTGCATTCTTAAGGAAATTTTGTGAATAAACTGATATAGACACTAAGATTGTTATTTTCTTTAATAGAAGCGTAAAACCTTCATTCCCAGCTATTTCCTTCCGACAAATTGTACCCAAGAGAATTCACTGCAGCCCTTATTTTCAAAGGCAGGTATGTTCCTGGAAAAGTGAAATATAATATTTTATTTGATAGAATTTATTTATTTGTATTTTACAATTCTGTCTTATATTCTCTTATGTAGTAAAGAAACACATATGTTTAAGAATATCGGTTTCTAAATAAGTACATAACCAAAAACATACCCTAACCCTATTAAGACCCTCCAAGAGTATGAAGTGAAATCTAGAAACAAGCGATAGGAAGATTAAATTATGAGAACTCTAGAATTCATAAACTGGATTACGTAGTCTAAAATGAAAGTAGTTAAATCATTATAATTGTTTCACTGCTGGGCGCAGGTCAGTCGCTAGGCACTGGGCAGGTTCCAATATCTCCACGTCACGTACAAATTGAGAAGCAACCGCCATTCGACTGGGCCACCACCGCGGTGGTACAATATGAAAAAAAATTAAAACGCCGTTAATGTAGGTAATACAACAGTGTAATAATGAAAGTTGCAGTGATTTTACGAAGAAAGTAAAAACCATATTATTCAACCGTAGTGAAAAATTGATTCATTCTAAATCGTATTTACGACATGAGGTAGATTGTTAGACGGGTGAAGCTGAATTCTAATAAATATTTTCTTAAATAATAATCAAGTGAATAATTTGCTTTATTTCTTTTATGT